AAAAATGTTCAGAATTTTTAATATAGGAAGTTGTGTTATTTATTAGGGGATTTAAAATGTTTAAAAGATATTTGGCTAAGGGATGTGTAGGTGAACTTATACTACTAACTATTGGTCGTAAAGGAATATTGACTTTATTAATTTTTGGAACTCCGTAAAAATGTGGTGTTTTACTATTGTGTGGTGTTAATTTTGATCTAACGTAATCTGTGAATTCATGCTTAAATTTTTTTAAAGTGTTATAAATTTGTCTTTCAAAACGTTCTGTTGGATTTTTGTTTAATTTTGAATAACTTTTGTCATTTAAAAGTTCATTAATTTTTTGATCATAGATATTATAATCCATAATGACGGTTGCATTACCTTTATCAGCAGGCAAAATTTTGATTGTTTCATCTTTTTTTAATAACATTAATGCTTTTTGCTCTATTGAACTTATGTTTTGTTTAATTTTGAAAGGTTTTTCTAGAATTATTTTTGATTTTTTTTTATTTTTTTATTTATTTCAAAAAAAAATTGAGTGGTGCTCTTTACTTTTTTCACTACTAATTGTTTTTCAAGAAACCACACAAGATCCTTCAAAATTCTTGTTCAATTGAGTCAAAATCACTTTTCCTCCGTAGATCAAACCGTTAAAAATGTCACGCATAAGAAAATCACGCAAAGAGAGGGTAAATAAATTGGTGGAAGAACGTAAAAACTAACAGTTATAAACTAGACAATAAAACGCACCAAGAACGATTCTTAGTTCACACACAATCGCTAGACTTGAGTTGATCTTTTCCAAATTAATCGCACGAAGAGATTGATGGTAAGAGCAAATGAACAGTACAAAAGTGTCAAAACAAACTCCGGAATGAAAAATAGCTGAGAGAAAAGCGTCGGTTGCATGTAAATAATTTAAGGCAAGTTTAACTTTTTGAGTTAAGCTAAATTGATTCGACGGTCCGCGCTGGCACACGTCGTTAATATTTACGAGTTAATTATGGGCTAAATTAAAAGTGCACCTGCTGACCTGCAGTTACTTATTTAACTCTTGACCTGTGTTGTAGTTTTCTACTTTTTTGTCGGATTCTTCCACACGCTCACAGCGAGTCTTTGTCAAATATTCATCCACTTCCATACTGAATTTATTCGAAATTTAAGCCAAAAATACGATGTTTATTGTGAGTTTTTATAAAAAATCAGAAAAAGTGAATCTTTGTCGTTTGAACTAAGTAAAGTTTCCTGTTGAATTATAATAGTTTTTTAATGGCAAACTCAAAGAGATCAGCCGAACTGATGCTTGTTCAGCACTGGAAACGCTCACAAGAAAAGTTTTTTTAGAAACTCCAAAAATAAACACCTTAATCTGTTTTAAATGGATTCGTCGGTGATCTCGAGCGAGATATATCCACACGTTTTTCCAAATATCGTAATTAAAATACTATTAAGGCGCCAAAGGTGTGATTGAGTGTAATTGTTTCTAAAGTACCTAAATATGCGGCTCAGTGGTAAAATTTAACTTTTCCACTCGAGATTTACGATTATTCCTGCTATTAAACCTAGCGAACAGTGCGTAGTAAAATTAAAAATCACAGAAAACAACCACCCGGTTGAGGTAAATTTTAATGGCACCCAAAACAATTAATGAATATTAATTAGTTTTGAAAAATTAACGCCCTGAAGTGTATTTGTATGTCTGAATAATTTAGAGCTTTAGTGCAGGAACATTTTTTTTAATTACCATAAAACACTCAACGCAGTTTAAGCACAAAAACCAACAATCAATCCTTCTTGGAAATTAAAATTTTTCAGCACATGTGTGCGTCTATTGTGTATTCTACTAAAATTAAACACTTCTCCCAGTGCATCAAGATCCTCATATCGACCGAGAAATAGGAATCGGAAAAACACAAAAAAACCCAAACTTAACTTAAAAAATCGACCCTGTTCGCGCTGCTGCAATTTAGTTAGTTGCAGGGTAAGCGGATTTTATTTTGCATTCAAATTAAACAACGAAACGGACAACAGCAAGAAAACAAAGAGTTTCGGAGTTATTAAAACACCTACCTGTCCAAATGGAATGCGGCAATCTCTGCGTTGTGTCTCTCGTAGTCGGTGAAATAAAAATGATTTGGAAGGGTCTGCTGTTCACGTGGAAATCTGCAACAAAACAAATGGCTTTTGAGAATCACGTCGAAATGAGATGAATATTTAATTAATATTTGCAAATCCACGGGCTCGACGGGTTTGCGAGTTTTTATGCAACTGTGACAATGCAAACAAACATTGCACTTTGTAAGTTTTAAACAGCTAAATAAAACATTATGTTAATTAATTGCTGGTTTTAACGCAGGTTGCTTCTACTTGTCCGCATTATGAAAACAATCACGATTTTGGAAGTATTGTTCACCTAATATCCAGTGGGAAATAATGGGAAATAATAAACTATTCAGATAAGCGCTTTTTTGACTCCATACTGAGGAAAAACAGTATTCAATGCAGTTTATATAAACAAAATAGTTTAGATTTGAATAATTTATTTATCATCCCAGAGCCGGTTCGGGTACAGCAAAAAGCAATTAGAAACAATTGCTCTATTACACTCTATTTAATTCATGCCCTTTGGAAACGTATCTACTAAATTTGCATAAATTGTTCGGATTTGAAAATATAAAGTAATTCGGGGATTTGTGTTTCAAATATTTCAGTTGCATCCCACATTATGCAAATTTTCAAATGCAAATTCGCTGTTTCATTTCCAATGGCCGAAGCCCCACTTTTCTAGCCAAAAAATACGACTTTAATTGATATCAAGCGGGAACTACATGCATTCAATAATATTCGGCAATTGAATAAATAAAGCAAAATAAGTCAATCTTTGCATGCACAGAGCTCTAAATTAGTCGCATTGAATTTGAACCGTCAATGTTTAGGCAAAATGAACCCTTAATGGATTAATGATCCAAAATAAATAGACAAAATTGCTAATAAAAAATGTATTATCGAATCCCACGCATTCGGGCTTTCGTAGGCAATCGATACGGAATTTTCAAAAGTCAAAAATACTGAAACAGAAATTTCTCAGTTGCAATTGTTGAATAAATCAGACAATAAACTTGTGAATTTTAAATTAGACAAGAAACTACATGCATTCAATAATATTCGGCAATTGAATAAATAAAGCAAAATAACTCAATCTTTGCTCGCACAGAGCTCTAAATTAATCGCGTTGAATTTGAACCGTCAATGTTTAGGCAAAATCAACCCTTCATTTGAAAAATCCTGCTTTCTTTGCCGAAAACAATTTTTATTAAACAAGTTATTTTGGATTAATAATCCAAAATAAACAGACAAAATTGCTAATAAAAATGTATTATCGAATCCCACGCATTCGGGCTTTCGTAGGCAATCGATACGGAATTTTCAAAAGTCAAAAATACTGTAACAGAAATTTCTCAGTTGCAATTGTTGAATAAATTAGACAATAAATTTTGTGAATTTTAAATTAGACAAGAAACTACATGCATTTAATAATATTCGGCAATTGAATAAATAAAGCAAAATAACTCAATCTTTGCAGGAACAGAGCTCTAAATTAGTCGCGTTGAATTTGAACCGTCAATGTTAAGGCAAAATCAACCCTTCATTTGAAAAATCCTGCTTTCTTTGCCGAAAACAATTTTAATTAAACAAGTTATTTTCTAATAAAAAATGCAATAAATTCCAGTCCATACAAATAAAGTAATTTTGTGCTGAAAACTGATGAAATATATTATTAAATCTCCGTAGTTTTTGATAACTTACTACCCCCCTAGATGACCTTTTTAGTCGCCCTTACGTATGTTGAGGGCAAGAATGGCGATGAAAAGAATTTTCGTGTCTAATCAGCTTGACATCGGACTAGCTCAGGATTCTCATAAGGACAAAAGAGTCCCTTTAATCCCTTAATGCCGCCGTAGCTCTATATCTTGTTCTGGCCTTTTCATCAGAGGCAATATCCTAATAGCGAGGGGAGAAAAAATCTATTCGAAAATATGCATGTCTCAGCCTATTCAAACAGTTCTACTTCTTACTTTTGTTAAATTCAGCTGTTAGTTTTTCATCGGATGGCAAACCACCTTTTCATATTAAAGACATTGTTTGAAAAAATCTAAATACAGGATATAAAGAAATGTATGTGCAGATGAAGGCAAAAATTGTCTTAAACAAAAAGCTTCGAATAAAAAAAAGCTGCTTAACGGTTGTTCCCTGTTGAACTCCCTCCTGTTTGCTGAAATTATAGGTCTGGGCAACGCAGTGAATTTTCAAGCGTTGACGGAGTTACACCGTGAGACGCGAGGTGTTTTAACGCATAACGCACGGAGCGGCACCAACACCAAGGTGCCACACAACACCGTGCTATTAAATTGCATTAAAATATCGAATAGTGGTTAAGCCCTCCCATACTCTCATAGGAATACTTCCTTCGTTATCCATGGATTAATATTTTGAACAATATCCGCTGGAGTTTTGCAAAAACAGCATTCACATGAGTAGAGCCCGTTTCCGTTCTGTTATGGTAAATAAGATTGTTTAGAACTAGTTAGGCCATCAGAGCGAGTCGGATTGAATCCAGTTTGAATCGCAAAACCCAAGCATAATGGGCCGGTGTTACGGTCTGTTTATTCTCATTTAAAGAGGCACAATGGATATGTGGCGAGGTAATTGATAATGTTAATAACTCCGAATAGAACCAGCTTCGAAGGATAATTAGAGGGCTCTATCGGTGCATTTCAGTTTTCGCTGAAGCTCACTAATCGCATCGAGGTTGTGCATAGAACAACAGCCCGACTATCTTTAAATTGCCATTTAATAGACATACGCCCGAAGGAAATTCACTATTCGATTTTTATGTATGACCGAAAGAACGAATGACATTATTCCACTGTCATGGATGACGTGCGCTTTTTATGGATAACGAATTGGTTTGTGGAACGTGCGGAGAAAGCACAAAAGCCCCCTTCAATTTCCATATTGGCGGTTTTCGTAATAGTCGCGTCTGTAAATAAATGACTCGAAATATTACTTACTCGTTTTCCATGTTTTATTTTCACACGTTTGTC